CGGACACACTACACTGCTCGGTAGTTGCGCATGGCAACCGGACAGGGGTCTAAATTTTACCGTGGCCGTTTCGCCGTCGGGACGTTTCGCTGTCAAGACATATTTTCCTTTGCATGACTGTAATGTATCGTGCCATATTATACTCGTACATTTATTTAGTTTAATATTTCTGTACACTTTTCTATACTTAATAAAGGTTGCTTGTAATATATAAAGTTGTTTACATATTTGAGATATAAAGAAATTACACTTAGTTAGTTAGATTATTATGTCAGCATCAGAGAACTGGGACTAAACCTCTGATATAACAAAAGTTATATTATCGATTTTAAAATTATGCTGGTATAATATTTACATAATTCGACAAAATTTCTTGAAATTTTAATCGGCCAGCTCAGAGAAATCACACTGCAAGCAGGAAATTGACATTTTTATGAAATGTGAATTGAAAACGGAATTACTTTTGAATCTTGTCAGCACATTACTCTCTTAAAATTAATATTTCATGCGTAACGTTGTAACTGTATAAAATTAAACACAAAAACATTTATATAAAATTTTTATTAAATGAAATGAAATTATTAAGCTAAACAGAATTATTAAACTAAATCAACTTAATATAATACGGTCGTGTAAAGAAAAATATGTCCTGACGGCGAAACGGTCACGGCGAAAATTCTGTCAGGTGTCCCGGTTTAGTGTGACCAGACGACTTCATAAAAGTTGCTTATTCATTTGAGACAGATAATTAAGGATTAAAAACAAGGGTTGATCGTTGGACATGGCCCAGGAACATTGGCTGGTCATTTTAATTTAAAGCATTATTCTATTCGCTAGAGAATTGGGGGTTTACTGTTATAAAATAACATCTTATCTGTTTGATCACTGAATTATTTTGTTGTCTTCTAGGCCCACACAGCCATTGTTTTAACTATAGTTTTAAGTTAAACAAAAAGTTGAAAACGAATTTGCAAAATGCAGCTTAATGCATTTTGCAAATTCATTATTATTAAACAAAATGATAAATTATTATTAAACAAAATGTTATTAAACAAAACGATAAAAATCTAAAGGACTTTTAACCTAAAGTCTAAAATACTTAAGCTAAAAACTTAAGAAAATATGCAGAAAAGATCAGTTGTAAGGCAAATTTCAGAAGTATTTTAGATGGATAAATAAAAGTTTTAAAACTTTGGATTTCATTTTAAATTGATTTAAAAATTCTTGCTATCCACAGTTTTAAAACAAAGACTAATTTAGTTAAACATTTTGATATTTTCCGTTTGTAGATACTGAGTTAATATTAATGTGTGTTAACAGTTCGTGTAAATTCTGTGAATAAACATACCAGAAGAGGAAAAACTTAAACAAAAATTTGAAACCTTTTTGACAACTCCCAGCAGTAACAATTTTTATAAGGTGTCTGGAGCAAATCATTCGAATACTTTCCTCAGTTTACAATGACAACTTTTAACAGTGTATAAACATGAACAACGAACACGTGACTGCATTCACGGCACACTCACGCGCTTTTTTTTAATATAAGGTATTTAAACTGCGAATTTTAATATTCCAATAATTAAATCAATATGTTGTTGTAAGCTTAATTTTACGATTTACATTCTGCGAACTGTTTTGATATTATATTTAAGATATTATGAGATGCATGATCTTTAAGGCATCAGTTGCCTACTTTAGTTACTGTTTACATTAGTTATTTATTGTTTGTTTAATTATTATTTCTAGCGTTAGCTGTGGCATCAGCAAATTATATCATCAAACAAATTATATTAATATGATTCAGAAAGGCGAACAGGAAAATAAATTGTGTTTTGCATGGACGCGGTCAGCTGATCAATGTTACAAATAACGTTTTCGAAAATAGCAGTAATAAAATAACAAGGACAGATAATCGAACAGCCAAAACATTTTAGTCCTGTCCGTGCCCTCGACGAGTTAATATCAATATTAACAAGCCAAAAAAATCTTCGAGACTGATCATTGGGGATTCAAAACAAGGATGAACGTTGGACAAGACACAGTTACGTTGATTGGTCATTTTAATTTAAAACGTTGTTTGATTCATTAGAGAATTGGGGACTTACTAGATTGTGATAATTTAGCTCTATATCTGTAGCCTCCTGAATTACATACCTCAATAAGCAATAACGGGAAAGATTGTATTTAATTTGTTCAGCATATTGTGATTCGAGAACAGAAAAAGTCAGTGATTTGGTAATGTTCAACTTTTATGAAGAAGAAGCAGATAATCTTCTGAGAACGAAAAAACATAATTATTCAATCTTCTAAGTAGTTAGGAACACAAACAGGATATCTGAGATAAAGTACATTTGAAATGCATGCTGATGAGTGTACTTGAAAAAAAAATTGATGAAATTACCAAAATAATAGTTTTTCACTTCACAAATATTTTTCAGACGATATTTTACTGACAGTGATACATATTTCCTTTACATCTATAATAATAAAAGCAAGTGTAAGTCTGTCTGTCTGTCTGTCTGACCGAGCTCTCCAGCCAAATCTATGGCACGCAGGGACCTGGAATTTTTTATACGGAAGCACAAAGGGGCTGGCCACCAGACCTCGAAGCCCGATTTTCGATTTTTGAATTAGAAAAATTTTAAAAAAAATTTATTAATTAATTAATCACGGTTTTTTTGACTCACTGATATTATTATTTGTTTTCAAATAACGTTCGATTGTAACAATTGATTTCTTTATTCTAGCGTTAGTTTGCTGTTTTGACGATACATTAAATCGATTAATTACAATTCATTTCTTTTTTGTAGCTTTAGTTTGCTGTTTTCATGACACATTAATTTCTTTTTTTTTTCAGAATTGCACTTTATAAACTTTTTGTTTCTTAATTAATATTATCATGGTTTTTTGACTCACTGATCGTGTTGCTATTATTTATTTTCAAATAACGTTCGATTATAACAATTGATTTCTTTATTGTAGCGTTTTCTTCAGTTTTTGTAATCATTCTTCTGTTGGTTGCTTAACTTTTGCTTTTCAGATTTTAGAAGAAATATGCCGCAGCCACCTCGAAAAAAGAAATGTTTGGAAAATAAAAATCGACAAGAGAGCGATACCATCGCCAGTTCTTGAAAGAGACGCAGACGGGACAAGACGGATATCCACTGTATCGTCGTAGAAGCCCTGCAGATGGAGGTTTTACAGCAAGCATCAATCTACGAGGATCAGAAGTTTCGGTGGACAATGCCTGGATTGTTCCTTACTGTCCACTACTATCCAAAATTTTTAACGCACATATCAACGTTGAGTACTGCAATTCTGTCAAGTCCATAAAGTATGTATGCAAGTATGTCAATAAAGGATCCGACATGGCTGTATTTGATGTCACCAGTGGAGCCAATGAACTGAATGAATGAAATTCATCAATATGAGATGGGAAGATACATTAGCAGCAATGAAGCAGTGTGGAGAATACTCAACTTTCCAATCCACGAACGTCATCCCACAGTCGTTCATCTAAGCGTCCACCTTGAAAATGGCCAGAGAGTGTACTTCACTGAAGAAAATGCTGCTGAACGGGTCCAGGCACCCCAGGAAACAACGCTCACATCTTTCTTCAAGCTGTGCACCCAAGATAACTTTGCCCGCAATTTACTTTACAACCAAATTCCAAAGTACTACACATGAAACAGCAGGAACAAGAGTTGGAACCGCCGTAAACAAGGACAAATTGTTCCAGAAGAAACAGGAATCCGGTCTACTGATGCTCTTGGCCGTGTCTACACCGTCCATCCCAACAACTCCGAATGCTTCCACCTTCGCCTATTACTACATGAAGTTAGAGGCCCAACATCATTCACGGATTTGAGAACCGTTCAAGGAAGAGTCTGCAACACTTTCAAAGAGGCCTGCCAACTTCAAGGACTTCTGGAGAATGACGAACACTGGAACACGGCGTTAGAAGAAGCAGCTGCATCTCGATCACCCAAGATGATGCGTAATCTGTTTGCTGTAATGCTTCAAACGTGCTCCATGTCGGGCCCTGAACAGTTATGGATGAACCACAGGGAGAACCTGTCTGAAGACATACTGCATCAAGCAAGGATCCAGCAGCAGAATAGAATATGGACCTGGACTACAATGACGACATCTTTAACAGAGCCCTAATCTACATTAAGAACAAGATAATATCTCTAGGAGGATTGAACCTGAAAAGCTTTGGACTTCCCCAACCTAACAGAAACAGCGATTCTGCCATTTCCAGTGAAGTAATTAGAGAACGAAGTTATAACATGGATGTGTGCTCGCAGCTTATATACAGGAGAATGAGCCTAAATTGGTCCAAGATCAAAAAGAAGCCTTTGACAAGATTACTAGAGCAGTTTTTGATAGGCAAAGGGGTATATTCTTTTTGGATGCTCCAGGCGGAACCGGGAAGACGTTTCTTATCAACCTTATTTGGCAAAGGTGCGGCACAGAAATGAGATTGCCCTGGCTGTCGCTTCATCCGGCATTGCTGCTACACTCTTGACAGGTGGTAGGACTGCTCACTCGGCGTTCAAGTTACCCTTAAATCTGACAAGCACAGAGACTCCAACGTGTAACACATCCCAAGGAATTCAGGAAATGCAAAGGTTCTACAGGATTGCAAGCTCATCGTTTGGGACGAGTGTACCATGTCCACCAAAGCCGCATTCGAAGCATTAGATGTCACCATGAAAGACCTCAGACGGAACAATGACAGAATGGGAGACGTCCGTAATGGTTTTGGCAGGCGATTTTCGACAGACGCTACCAGTTATTCCGCGTGGAACGAGGGCAGATGAAATGCAGGCCTGCATAAAATCTTCTTACATCTGGAATGGCATTCAAACACTTGGATTATCGACTAACATGCGAGTTCATCTCAACGGTGATCCCTCTGCCCAGCAGTTTGCAGATAATCTACTGAAACTAGGAAATGGAGCCCTTACTTCAGAAATGAAAATGGATATGTAGCGATGCAAGGCATTGGAAGGATTGTGACTACTGAAGAAGAACTGAAAGAGGCTGTGTTTCCGAATGTGATTCACCACTTCACTGATCACGCATGGCTGTGCGAAAGAGCAATTCTTGCCCCAACAAACGAAGCCGTCAGTGTTATCAACAAGGAACTTTTACAGAACTTACCCGGAACTCTTCATATTTACAAATCTATAGACACGACATGCAATATTGACGAGGCTGTCAACTATACGACAGAGTTTCTCAACAAATTAGAGCCACCTGGAGTACCCTCCCACATATTGGACTTGAAGGTTGGAGCACCGATAATTCTCCTCAGGAATCTGGATCCGCCTGCACTTTGCAATGGAACAAGACTTTCTATCAAGAAACTGATGCCAAATATTATAGAAGCCACCATCATGACCGGACTTGCTGCAGGCGAAGATGTGTTTATTTCAAGAATTCCTATAATCCCTTCCGATCTCCAGTTTCAGTTTAAGCGTCTACAATTCCCTGTTCGTTTGAGTTTCGCGATGAGCATTAATAAGGCACAAGGACAATCTCTCAAAGTTGTAGGGCTCGACCTCCGTAAGCCGTGTTTCTCCCATGGTCAACTGTACGTGGGTTGTTCAAGAGTTGGTAATGCCGATAATCTACACATCTTAGCTCCGAATGGAAGAACATTAAATATAGTTTTATCCCGAGGCTCTCTAACGAAAAGGACAATCTAACGAAAAATTATTGCCACTCTCCACTCTCCCAAACTAACTCTGACTATCATGCTTTAAATAGTGATGTTATTGTTTAGTGCTCTCTTGAGAGCATGAGCAATAATCCGAATGGTGCTGCCGTACCAACAGACATTAATCGGTCAGGGGCCCTTGCGACCCCAGCCCGAGCTCCACAAACATACACAAACACTCTCCTCTTCTAATTCATTGTCATCTAAATTTAACTTACACTTAAATTAAAAATTTAATTGGTTCTTAACTCCAAATTTCCTGTAAGCAGGATGTTTTATTTCATCCATGTTTTCGTTACTTTTTATTTTTTGTACTGTACTGTACTCTCTATCTTTCCCTTTCAACTCTTTCCTATCTTTGATTTTGAATTTTTTTATGTTTACTTTTCTTTATACTTCAGACCAATGATTATAACCACATGACTACGGTTTCCTAGCATGTGCTAATATGAGGTCTGTTCTCATTTAAACTAATTTTTTAACAGATGGCTCATGGTTAGGATATATTGTTCCTTTTTATCGACGGGGAATGTTGTGTGTGGGGGGGGGAAGAGAGAGAGACAGTCTACATGTCCTATTCCTGCGCTATTCACTTATCTGCATTTTCTAAATGCACGGGCAACGCCGGGCGGGTACAGCTAGTAAGTTATAAAACAAAGCACGCATAGCGTCAGAAAAATATGCAAACTCCAGCATAATTGAGATAATTGAGAAGTCAAATAATCTCTTTATTGCTTGCCTGACATGGTTAATGGAATTAGTGCTGTTAATGATCTAAGACAAGAGCACTAAATATTCTCCTCAGATTAAAAAGATTTAACTTGCCTTATTCTTTGATTTTATTTAAGACTGTATTTCCAAGATTAAATGGTCACACTGATGGAAACATAGATATGATTTCACAAAGTGTGATATAATTAGAGAACTGGTGTTTTAATGCATGAAAATGATGAAAATACTTTTGATCACTGAATTATTTTGTTGTCTTCTAGGCCCACACAGCCATTGTTTTAATAGTTTTAAGTTAAACAAAAAGTTGAAAACGAATTTGCAAAATGCAGCTTAATGCATTTTCCAAATTCGTTATTATTAAACAAAATGATAAATTATTACTAAACAAAATGTTATTAAACAAAATGATAAAAATCTAAAGGACTTTTAACATAAAATCTAAAATACTTAAGCTAAAAACTTAAGAAAATATGCAGAAAAGATCAGTTGAAAGGCAAATTTCAGAAGTATTTTAGATGGATAAATATTATAATTGGAACAAAATGCATGATGAATTGTAAAGAAAGGTAGTGAAGCGAATTAAAAAACGTTAAGTAGCATAAAGATGTGTGCAATCAAGACAAAGTTGCATTTTATGTTCATATATGAAGAATTAATATTTTTTAAAATTTATTTAGAGTTTATTTCCTAATCACAGTTATCTCTGTATCATAGATTTGTTTTATTTACATGCTGCACATTGACATCGTACTAAAATTCAAAGCCAATTTGGTCCTTTCAGTATGTTCATAGATAGAGAACTTCTATTAATACACGCGCATTTACACATATAGATAGTATGGAAATTATAATCCCCCCGAAAAACAGTATTTAAAAATTCTTATGTACTAAATTAGCTTTAAACCGTGTAAATACGAAAGGAAAAACCGCACGGTGAAGTTAGCCTTCCCACGCTTGTGGCACCATCTATCGGTGAAAATTTAGATTCTTTAAAAGCAACATGAATTAATAATTCTAAAACGGATTTCGAAGAGATACAAAAACAATTTACATCACTTTTCTCACTTCATAAAAATATAGATCAATTTACGTTTCCGTCAGTACATAGAATTCTACTTATGCGTTTGCTCTTTTTATTTATAGATAGGTTTACAGATGCGTTGAAAGAATGTAAAACAATGCTTATTAAATGCATAAAATTATATTTAAAATTTTATTTGTCATTACAAACTTTAAAAAATCGCTTTTATTTATTAATTTTGTAACCACGCGCATGATCTTAATTACTTTAAAATTTCGAATTTATGCTATTATATTTTCATTATCATAAATTTATATTTAATGAATCATATAGAAAGATGTTTCTCTCAATTGTATTTATTATAAATAATTCAAAACATGCAACGAATTCACAAAATTTTAAATTAGAATGAATTTCTTAGATAAGATAATTACGTTTTATTCAGCCACAATGACTTTCTCGGACACATTTTTAGGCTTCGTATTAAACAAAATTATTTATAAAAAAATTAAAGGATTTCACAAATATTTGATTATTAGTTTTGATTATAACTGTTAATCCTATAGTTAATTTAATATTGCATTTAGTTAAATGAAATGGACAATTTACGCATATCTGATTAAAATTTATCTTTTATGTGCGTGTCTTTGTTTTCCTGGTTATTTGAATAAAATTTCTATAATTCTGAATTCTGGTATAGGAGGTCAACTATTATGAGGGTTCTCTTGTTTGGGGGTTAGTAACATTTAGTGCTAAACTTTAATTTTTTTAATTTACATTTATCTCTTATTTTCATTTATAGAAGTTATTATTTTACAAACCATAAGAATTCTCCGATAAGAAATACAATTTGTCTAAGAAAACCACATTCACAGAAAATCGAAACTCCATATTTTCTAACAGAAGTCAAATTATTAATTTATAAATTAAAAATCAGATTTGAGCACCACATGACTTCCTTTTACGACCTGTTAAATTAGACACATTTTTTCCCTGCACTTCGCTTAATCCATGTGTCCTCGAATTATGCTAACATAATTAACCGATCCCTCAAGACAAGTTGAAATGACATAAAAAATTGCAACTTTTGAAATTAAATACTCGGGCCAAATTTAGTCGTACGAGAGTCAAACTTCTTATCTTTTTATTTTTTTCATAATGAGTATAAAACATTCCTCAAATATAAATCTAGGAAGCGGGAGACTGCTTCAAAAGTTAGTATTCATTATTTGTAGAAAATATTTTTTTAAAAAACTTGATATTACCGAAAAAATGAATATTTTGGTCACTTAAAACCCTTATGTAATTTAGAACTATATGATTACAACCAATGGCTGCGAAAATAAAAATTTTTAAGTCGGGTAAGGAGGGGTGAGTATGTATACATATATATTATATATATATATATATAGGTTGCTACTGCCGATTGTAGTAGAAAAGGGAAGTGCACAGTTAGAAGTTATAGCAGTTCCATAAACAAATTTTGACGTTCTACGGTTAATAGTTTTTGAGTTCTGCTAAATGCATACATATATATGTACATACAGACGTCACAAAAAAAATCCATTTTGGATCCATTTTAGAATTCGTTTTCAAATAATGAATTTTTTATTCTCTCTCATATGTACAGACATCCCTCTTCCCCTCCCCCCCAAAAAAAAATCAAAATGAATTCGGGAACCGTCAAAATGGAAATTTCCGTTGAAATCTGATAATCAAAATTTTTCGCAATTAAAATATTTCCTTTACTTCGTAGAAGGAAGTTAAATTGTAAGCTCTATGTTTGATTAAAATATTATACACTCAACTTGGGATTGCTGGTCTCTTTGTACACCTGCTTATTTCAGTGTAACGATGACTAAAGACCTGAAGGATCATATGTTAGTTCGCTGCAGTTTTTTTTCCACAATAGCTACTCATAGATGAACCTGAACAGCTTTAACACAATCTACTCAAATAAACGATTGAAGTAAAAGGTGCGCTGTTTTAAGAAATACTTTCGTCTGAAGGTACAGTAAGCAATTAACATCCATGCTTTCTAGGCATGTAAGTCTGAGTTCAAACGGTTCATCGGTAAAAGAAAGAGAATGATTTTGTTTTAGGATGTTCATCAGTGGCAGAGCAGATTAAGCCACTAAACACTGGTACTAAAACTCGATTGCAGTGTTGCATTTTTCTCTGAATGTTTTGAGGTAAATAATATTTGTAAATGTCATTAATATTCAGGGCACAAGATCTCTGAAAGCAATTTTTCTAAGATGATGTTATTGAAAAAAATAGATTTATGTTCAAATTAGTTATAGAAAACTCTTTCATCTTTTCTTTTATTTTCATAGATTTAATGAAAATCCAGACTAATTTATAGCAGGAATTTTTTAAATTAATAACACTTTAGTTACTTCAAAATAAATATATTCAAATTACTTTTAAGCATAGAATTTACAATTTAACATCTCGGTTATTTAAAAGTTTAGTAGGAAAAAAAAGCAGAGACTTTTAACAAATACATTTGGAGGATTTTTGAACACAGATAGTTTGTGTTATACGGTTCGGTCTTTCGGTTTAGGTCACCTACATTAGTTTAATATAAAAATTTTAATTATTTTTTAAGTAATGTAAATGGAAGTTCAGCACTCAACAGTAAATTTAAAATAAATATCTTGAATATCAGGTTGAAAGAGTACCTATTACAGGGTTTTATATGGAATCAATTGTTCTGATAAAGCAGTTATGAAATAAAATTAAATTCAATAAGGTTTAATAGCCTTCCATATAAAATTTTGACTACTTTTAAAAATATGTGTAACTAACAAGAAAAATGTTTGAAAATGTTGGGGTTTATTAAATAAATTATCCATACAATGCAGTTTGGCCTTTACTGTCATTCAATCGTACACTTTTAGTTGGAAGACCAAAAGTAAAGGTAATGCAGCCCCTTTCCTCAATATGATTGTTCAGTTTCTTGAACTTGTGTCCAGTTCAGTACAGGGCACTAAAAATGTTAAAAACACAAGAAAAGCTTTAGGAACTGTACCACAATAAACTGCCAGTTCGCTTTATTTTGAAGCTTATCAGTTGCTTCTATTACATTTCATTAGTTGAATTCGGCAAAGCACCATAGGGGTATTATCTATAGGGAAGGGAGAGTTCCATTCAGGAAATTTTCACTTATATGAGTAAATTAACGCGCTCACATTACATATGGAATAACCCACAAAAACAACCAAGTAGTCAAC